GTCAAGAGCATGTACCTTGGTTGCGGGCACATCCCCAGTGGGGAGTGTGCAGGAGGCAGCTGATCGATGTTTCTCTCTCATCGATGTTTCTAACTCTCTATCCCTCTTTCTTCCTCTCTGTAAAAAATCAATAAAATATATTTTAAAAAAAACAAAAAAAAAACTTGGGGTAAAATTAAAATATTTAATCAATGTAAATTTTTCAAAATTAAAGCAAGCAGATATAGTGGAATAGACTAGGGGAGATTATTAATATAAAATGCACAGCCCGGCCAGTATGACTCAATGGATAAGCATCAATGTATGAACCAGGAGGCCATGGTTCAATTCCTGGTCATGGCACATGCCCAGGCTGTAGGCTAGATCCCCAGTAGAAGGCGTGTAGGAGGCAACCAATCAATGATTCTCTCTCTTCATTGATGTTTCTATCTCTCCCTCTCCCTTCCTCTCTGAAATCAATAAAAATATTTTTTTAAAAGAAAAAAAAAAAACAACTTACAGTAAGGAAACGTAATGCTTAGAATATGCCCCTAAATTACCTAGGAATACACATTTACTTTTTTCTATCATTACAGGTACATTTTGAAAGATCCAAGTTTGAGAAGCACTGGCTTGGACAGGATACCATACATTGAGGACACTGAAGCCTGTATGTTAAGGCTATTGAAACTAATAGTTTTCTTACCTGGTAGTTTTGTGTAGTAGCTGGAGGTGGTGGGGGTGGTGCTTCTTGTTGTCTCTGGGTATAGCCATAATCCGTTGCTGTGTGTGCAGTGGGGTAGCCTCCATAAGCAGCAGCTGTTGCAGCAGCTGCAACAGCTACAGGAGCAGGCCTGGCAACCGCAACTGTAGCAGCTGCTGGTGCATAGGCAGCAGTAACTGTGTGAGCAGCTACTGGAGCCTGATGGACAGTGTAGCTAGCAACTGTAGTTGGATGAGAGTAGGCTACACCCGAAGCTGGCTGCTGGCTATATTGTAGAGAAGAAGAATAAACATAATACAATTTATTAAAAATCTAGGAGTTTAATCAAATTAAATAAAAAGTGCATTTTCAAGGAATTTACTCATGGACTACAAAAAAACCACTTTTTTATTTCAACTTAACCTCCCAATCAATACCATATTTATTGTTACATACTTTTCATTCCTTAATCTCAATACATTAGATAATCACACATTATGTTTCAGATCACAGATCAGATCACAAAGCAGGGATGACAAACTGGGATAAGAAGCAGTATTAGGAAGAAATGAAGTTGATCAAACTTGAAATTTAAAAAAATATTTGTTGTACCTAAACTTCTTTATTATGCTCTACAGATTTTTAAAAAAACTCTACAAAGAGATGTTAAGAAAAATATTGTATTCTAACTCCAATTATAGAAAACATTTAAGGTAAAAACTATTACCCAATTGACTTAAGAAATACTTCTCCCGCTCAGGCTAGGGCAGTGGTTCTCAACTGGGGGAGATTTTGCCGCCAACCCCTCTTGCCCTCCACCCCAGGGACATTTGGCCATGTCTGAACATATTTTTGATGGTCAAACTTCAGAGGAGTTGATGGTGGGTGATGAGTGCTACTGACATCTAGTGGGTAGAGGCCAGTGATGCTGTTACACATCCTACAATGCACAGGATAGCTACTCACAACAAAGAATTATGCAAAGAGTGTCAATAGTGCTGAGGTTGAGAAATACTGCTCTAGGATACAAAATCTACAATGCAGAATCTGTTATTTTAGATAAATTTTCCAGATTATAGGCATAATTTCATTATGCACATTTTTCTCTTTAAAATGTAGCAGATGTTGCCAAAGAAGATCTAAGTCAGATGTTTTGCAATCATAACCAGTTAAACCTCAAAGAGGCAAAAATTTTCCAAAATCGTAAATCAAAAAATTTGCAGCCAAAATTCTTAAAATAATTTTTACTTTAACCTTTACATTGAGAGCCTATGTCACATAAACCAAGGCCTAAAGATGTTGGCATATTAGTAAGTTTATTTGTTGTTCTATGATCTCTGAATAATACACTCACAATTACGTGCTAAAGCTTTATTACCAAGACAGAAATGCCTTCTAAAAAAATGACAGTTCCAACAGTTATTTAGCTGACAGTGTTTAGCTGACCATAGTTATAATGAGTCAAGAATAAAACAGAATTCTTCACTGGTGTTCACAATATCATAGAAACATGGCATAGAATTAAATTTTGAGACCATCATATTTTAACTGGTATTATGGAAATCGCTGATAATTAGGAATTATTAAAAGGGAATCACTATGAAGCTTACAAGTTCATATAAAAAGTGGAGGACCTGGGGACATTCAGTCTAGAAAAGGTGATATGATTAGCTGCCTTCTAATATACGAGACTTACTCCATGCTGCTCCAGAGAACAGAACTAGAACCAATGGATGGAAGGGTGGCAGAATTCAGCCCAATATGAAAAAGAAAAAAAAACAAAAACACAAAAAACTTAGAACAGAGTTCAAAGAAACGCCTATAATTTCTATTTGGATGAGGTTTTCCATATTTTGATGTTAAAATTAGCTAACATTTTCTACATATATGCCAATTATAAGACAGGCAAAGGAAGTTTCCATTGTAATAATGGGAAACTGGTTTGGGATTGACATTTTCTACGGATAATTCCACATCCTTAAGAAAAAATGCCAGCAACAGCTTCTTCAAAACTCCTAGAACTATGAAAAAGAATTATATTAAAATATAAATATACCAGTTCTGTGAAGCTTGTATTTAACATTCACTAATAAGATTTTACACATCCAGACTACACTGCATACATAAAAGGGGTTTTGATTATGTAAAAATTCAGATAATATTGGATTCCTATACTATTTTTATTCATCCTACTACTCTTTATCAAACACCTATTCACATTTCTTTCTCCCCTATGTTTGTCCTATTGGATAAAAAGCAGGGTGGGGATAGAATAGAAATGTCAAGTCAACTAGGCAGGCAATTTGACTTATACTGTCTCATATAATTAAGAGTCCATGTGACTTAGGATGAGATGACCATATGCTCTGGTTTATGCCCCTATCCCAGCATAATTATTAGTAGTATTCTCTTTCACTCTCCTATGTGTCTCAGTGTCAACAATAGATTTTACAGTCAGCCTTCCAAGAAACCATATAAAAAGATGCCAGTGCATTTAGCAATTACCACATACATCTATCTCTAAGGCTGCTTAACCTAACTCTGCTCTGTATAGCCAGGTCCTTACCCATCATCTGGACTGACCATATCCTCCACCAAAAGCATCATGAACGGTAATAATCCAGTCCCAGTTCCCAGGGGAGTCAAGGCGAGGGCAGCTGACTGCTTGCTGTTCAGAATAAAGATCCTCTGGGCTGTCTGTCGTCTTAGACCCATCTGGGAATTTCTCTTTCTGTTTCAAATATCCTTAGAAAATCTGTCCTTTACATGACGGGGATGACCACACTGGACTGTACCAATTCAATTAAGTATCCAGTTGATAAGTCTAAATAAACAAGTTAATTTTTAAAAATCCAGGTCAAATCAAGTTCAAATTCATTTAAGTAAAATTTGTCTAAGTGGAAATAGTTCAAATCAAGGTGTTTTCTTTGCCTAGCTTTGGATAGAATAAAAGGTGTTAAATTATATCCCTACATAAAATGTATGACTTACAATCTTTAAATTATTTCTTAAATAAAGCAGAATATAAAGTAAATAACCCAAATCTTGTGCCATAAAAATACATTAGTAGCCCTGGCCAACGCGGCTCATTGGTTATAATATTGGTCTGTACACTGAAGGATCTCGGGTTTGATTCCCAGTAAGGGCTCGTATTTAGGTTGCCGGTTCAATGCCCGGTCGGGGCACATGCAGAAGGCAATCAAATCGATGTGTCTCTCTCACATTGATGTTTTTCTCTCTCTACCCACCCTCCTCCCTCCTTTCCATTCTATGAAAATCAATGGGGGGAAATACATTTGTGAAATATGAGAAGACTTTCATTTACTAACCATCCAGTACAGCGGAAGCTTCTATTTAGATAATTATATCCTTTGTGAATAAATTAAATCTAATCAGCCTCAGTCAGTTTTTAGTCAGAACAAATAAAATAATAAATGATGAAACAAACATAAAAAAGTGGGTAAAAATGGTTAAGACTTGGGGTTTGGGTGGTGGGTCCCTGCGTGTGCTCAGCATGCATCAGAGTAGTGCTAGTTCTCTTCCGGGCCCATTTCCCTGGGACGCTGCAGGATGTTCATCCACAACAACTGCAAGGTGTTCAGGTTTTGTAAATCCAAATGTCACAGCAACTTTAAAAGGAAGTGCAATCCTCCCAAGGTCAGGTGGACTAAAGCATCCCACAAAGCAGCCAGTAAAGAGCTTACAGTGGATAATTCATTTGAATTTGAAAAACAGAAAAACAACGTAGAAACAAACCTGTCAAATACCAGAGAGCGCTGTGGAATAAACGACGGATGCAATGAAGAGCTGAAGAGATTAAACAGCAACATCAAGCTAAATTTATAATGAACAAGTTAAAAAAAAATAAAGAGCTACAGAAAGATCAGGACATCAAAGAATTCAAGCAAAACATTTATCTCATCCGGGTCCCTTTTGCATGCAAAGGAAAGCAGCTAGGAGAAAAAATGATAGAGAAACTACAAGAGGATGTGGACATGGAAGTTGTTTCTGATCATCTTACTGTGTAACTATTTCTAAGAGCACACTGGAAAATCTCCTTTAGAGGCTTAGATGCTCTAAGTTATTGATTTATTTTTTACATAAGGTGACTCAAAAGGGGATTAAAAATACATCCACATTACTATCTACAGATCATATGGATGTTACATTGCATCTCAATGGTAAATCTTCACTGACATACTTATGTAAATAATGAATATTCTGTAAATACAAAGTGAACTGTGGACATAAAATGATTATGCCACTTAGATAATGGCATCAGATACATTTATGTAATAACTAATGACAAACATTCATGGCTAGTGATATATAAAATAAAATTTTCTTTGCAGTTAAAAAAATGTTAAGAAATAACTGAAGAATCAGACATAAAGGTGGGAATGCAGACTGGTGCAGCCATTATGGAAGACAGTATGGAGTTTCCTCAAAAAACAAAACATGGAACTCCCATTTGACCCTGTGATCCCACTTCTAGGAATATATCCCAAGAAACCAGAAACAGCAATCAGAAAGGATATATGCACCCATATGTTCATAGCAGCACAATTCACCATAGCTAAGATCTGGAAACAGCCTAAGTGCCCATCAGTAGATGAATGGATTAGAAAACTGTGGTACATCTACACGATGGAATACTATGCTGCTGTAAAAAAGAAGGAACTCTTACAATTTGCAACGGCATGGATGGAGCTGGAGAGCATTATGCTAAGTGAAATAAGCCAGTCAATGAAGGAAAAATACCACATGATCTCACTCATTCATGGATAATAAAGACCATTACAAACTTTTGAACAATAATAGATACAGAGGCAGAGCTGCCTCAAACTGATTGTCAAACTGCAGTGGGAAGGCCAGAGAGGGTTGGGGGGCAGAAGATAAGACACTGGGGGGTAGGGGAGGCCAGGGGATTGTCAAGGGCGGGGAAAAAAAGGACACATATGTAATACCCTATGTAATACTTTAAGCAATAAAAAAATTAAAAAAAAAAAAAAGAATCAGACATAAAATGAAGGGTGTTTCTCTTGGAAAGAGAAAGAGGAAAAGAATTTAGGGGATTATTAATATTAGGGAATTATTAATATTAGGGAATTATTAAATCCACCTGCTTACCAAAAAGTGAAGCCAGCCAGAGGGCTTACCAAAATAGATAGCCAACCAACTGCCCTCGCTAATTTGGCTCAGTGGATAGAGTGTCGGCCTGCAGACTAAAGGGTCCCGGGTTCGATTCCGGTCAAGGGCACATGCCCGGGTTGCGGGCTCGATCCCCAGTAGGGGGCGTGCAGGAGGCAGCTGATCAATGGTTCTCTCTCATCATTGATGTTTCTATCTCTCTCTCCTTCTCCCTTCCTCTCTGAAATAAATAAAAATACATTTTAAAAAAATGACCCTGTGGAAATAGACCATTTCAAGGCAACAATTTTCAAAAATTCTAATGTGTATCCTTAAAACAAGACCTTTATACTAGTTAGAAGATAAAGTCGAGGGATACAGACAAGATAAAGATATGAAAACTATAAAAGGAGAGAAATCTAAGAGGTCCAATATTCAACTAGAAGGAATTCTAGAGAATAAAGAAAAAAGCAAATGAAAGAAATAAAATTTCCCTCAAAGGGAGGCACAAATTTTCAAATTCAAAGGGCCTACACAGTGCAAAGCAGAATGAAAGAACCACACCAAGAGACATACAGCATTTCACATCTCACAACAACAAAAAAGATCCTTCAAGTCTCCAGAGAGAAGATAAACAGGTCACCTACACACACCTAAATGTAAATCAGTCTCTCACTGAGGCTAGTAGCTAGAAGACAATAGGATGTCTTGAAAATTAAAGGGAAAATTATTATTAATGCACAATTCTGTACCGAGATAAATTAAGGAAGAATACATATTTTTCTTGGCATTCAAGGACTGAAAGAGTTTACCACCTCTATACTACATGATAATGTATTTTTAGGGCACTACACAATAGTGTATTTTTTTAAACCAATCTAGAAAAAGACTGTAAAATCCTGCAAACATGGATCTAAACCCAGGAGTGAGATGAAAGCCCAGGTTAGCAGCTGTGTAGCAGCCCAGAGAGGCAATGAGCTTAGAGTAGAATCAAAGGAAGGACAGAAGCCTCAAGGAGCAAGACGTTTAGGAAAGAGGACTGGACAGTAGGCAGTAGACTGGGAGACTGGAAATATCTTAAAATATAATCAAGGCACCAACAAGATTTGGGGGGAGCGGGGGGAGAGGAGTAAGAAAACACTTCAGGAAATATAAAACTGCTCGATCCCAGTAAAAGACATCACATTTTGAGCAATTAGTAGGGTGTAAAAAGGAAGAAATTCATTTTAATTTGAGCCTAGGAAGAGGCTTCTATTAAGTGGTACAGGGCTGTAAAAGTGAAACATAGGAATTACAATCATAAGACAGTACTTGGCTTACAGTATGTACTACTTACACAGTAATAGTGGAAATTTTTGCTTTAAAGTTTTAGAATCAAACTAATATACAGAAGATAAAATTATAATGTATAATAAATTCAACAAATTAAGTCCTAGAAAAGCATATTATTTAGTGATACAAAGTTTAGATATAAAACCAGAATGGGCAGAATTGGGAGGCAAGGAGAAGAAAAAATAAGGGAATGTTGTTTTCATTGTAAGCCCTCCTACATTACTTTATTTTTTACTTATTTATTTTTGGTTAATCCTCACCCGAGGATATTTTTCAATTGATTTTTAGAGAGTGGAAAGGAGGGGGAGAGACAGAAAAAGAGAAACATTGATGTGAGAGAGACACATTGATTGATTGCCTCCCACAGGTGCCCCAACTAGGACTGGGGATCAAACCTGCAACCAAGGTATATGCCCTTGACCAGAATCGAACCCGGGACCCTTCAGTTCGTGGGTCGACACTATCCACTGAGCAAAACCAGCTAGGGCCACTACTTTATTTTTAATTACATCATGTATTACTCTGGTGGGGGAAAAAAGCATAAAAGCATTGGAATAGAATTCTTAAACTGACAACTGGAATGACTAACAAACCCCAACTTTAAATACTTCTTTCTAGTTATTCCAACTCCACTCTAACTTCTATGTTCTGGCCTCAACCCTTATGTCCAACTCTGAACCTATTTTTAATGCTTTCAAATTCCATTACCATGATCTGGCTTTACATTATACTAAATTTATAGTCACAACTGAAATTAAAATAACTTATGAACAATAGCTTGCCATATAAATGGCATCTGGTAACAGAGAAAACATTTCTATACTTCCTTTAGTTTCCATACAACAGTGGTTCTCAAAATGTGATCCAAAGATGGCTAAGGGTCCCTAAGAGGAGTCCTAAGGGACCTTTCAGAGGGTCGAGAAGGTTCCCTTTTGTAATTACAGATTGCCTTCATATATTTTAACCCAAACAACTTATTACAACAGACTGAATGCAGAAGCAGATTTAAGAATCCAACCATCTAATTGAGATATTAAAAGGATTTGTAAAAATATAGAACAATGGCTCTCGTGTTTCACTATTTTGGGGGAGGTAGGAATATAGGTATTTTTCATAATGATATTTTTAGTTAGCATATAGTGATTTTTAAAAAATATATATTTTTATTGATTTCAGAGAGGAAGGGAGAAGGAGGGAGAAAGAAATATCATCAATGAGAGAGAATTGTGAATCAGCCGCCTCCTGCACGCCCCCTAGTGGGGATCAAGCTTGCAACCCAGGCATGTGCCCTTGACTGGAATCGAACCCGGGACCCTTTGGTCAGCAGGCTGATGCTCTATCCACCGAGCCAAACCGGCCAGGACAGCATATAGTGATTATTCTTATTTTAAGATGATTTGATAAATAGTTTTTAAAATGTCTTATAGTATTATATAACCCATATAAACAAAAGCTCTTTGGGGTCTTCAATAATTAGAAGTATTAGAGAGGTCCCAAAACCAAAAAGATTGCGCCCTAGCTGGTTTGGCTCAGTGGATAGAGGGCCTGCCCACGGACTGAAGGGTCCCAGTTTCCATTCTGGTCAAGAGCGCATACATCGGGGCCCTGGATCAGGGCATGTGTGCTAACAGATGTGTCTACTTCATATCAATGTTTCTCTCTCTCTCTGTCTCTCCCCCTCCCTTCCACTCTCTCTAAAATTCAATGGAAAAATATCCTCGGGTGAGGATTAACAAAAACCAAAAAGTTTGAGACCTGCTATTTCATGATACAAAACATTCACGAGTAGTCACCTTTCATTTTTCTGCTTTTTAATTACCTTTAAGCAAAATGTTTCCTTCTATCCAACAGGGAAACTGTTAGTTCCTAGGGAAAGGGGGCAGTGCCTGAGTGACCAGAGCCCCAAGTCTGTCACCTGCAGCTGCAGTATCTGCATCCAGGGCTCCAAATCTCCAAGTTTACCCAGTATGCTGCTGTACAGGTATCATTTTCTTTGTTAGCAGACACATGAAAGGCATAGGGAAGTAATGGCCTAGAACTCTGGAACTCACACAAGAAACCAGCACATAGGGTGAATTTTTAAAAAAGCTACTACTTCCCCCTTTAAGGGAGAACTGTAAGGAAACTCTTGTCTCAGTCCTGGCTCTGGGTAGAGGAAAAAAGTCTCCCTAGCCCTCCCTCCCCCTAGCCCTTCCCCTAGGCTTGGGCTCTAGAATTCACATTATTTGAACAGGAAGATTCTACGCCAGTGATGGCGAACCTTTTGAGCTCGGCGTGTCAGCATTTTGAAAAACCCTAACTTAACTCTGGTGCCGTGTCACATATAGAAATTTTTTGATATTTGCAACCATAGTAAAACAAAGACTTATATTTTTGATATTTATTTTATATATTTAAATGCCGTGTAACAAAGAAAAAATCAACCAAAAAAATGAGTTCGCGTGTCACCTCTGACACGGGTGTCATAGGTTCGCCATCACTGTTCTAAGC